CATCGATATTGCAATCCCTTATCTATTTCTATTTTCTCCATTTAAAAAAATGAAACGTGGTGTTATTTATCTCAGTAGGATACCCCATGGCTTTTACGAAAATGAAATGAAATCATACTTTAGTCAATTTGGTACAGTGACACGTTTGAAATTGTATCGAAATAAGAAGGTTTAATTTGTTTTTTTTTAAAAAAAAAAATAAATTTCGATAACTGTTAACTGACATTTTTTTACATCAAATTAGACTGGAAAGTCAAAGCACTTTGCATTCATTGAATTCGCTTGCGATGAAGTTGCACAAATTGCGGCCGAAACAATGGATAATTATCCTTTATGTAATCGCCTACTTCGTTGTATGTAATCTTTTTTTTTTTTTTTTAATGAAATTTTCAAAAAAAATTTAATAAAATTTATTTAATGATATATATATATATTTGCTTTTAGGTAAAGTTGTGCCAGAAGAAAAAATTAACCCAATGATGTGGATTGGAGCAAATAAAGAGTTTAAACCAAAACCTTATATAAAAGAAATTATGATGAAACATAATAGAAAAAAAACTCTGGAAGAACAGAAAAAACAAATTGATAATTTATTAAAAAAAGAAAATAAAAAACGAAAAAGATTAAAAGAATGTGGGATAGATTATGAATTTCCTGGCTATGTATGTATTTTATAATTTCCTATTACATTATTTGTTAAATGATTTATTAACATAGTATTCCTTAATTATTTAAAGAAAGCTTTTATGAAGCGTAGTGATGTAGCTGCATTGAGGTAAAGAATTACGACCGATTGCAATTTTTTGGTAGTATTGACGTAGGTGGTAACTCTGGTCATATTAAATATGACGTTATGGACTGTAATTCTTGTAGTATGTTGTATACTATGCGATAATAACGATTGATAACGACAATGATAAATAAACTACGTATATACGTGTATACGTAATTGATTTATTACATATGTACATACCGTAGTTTATTTATAATATATAAATATAATAAAGTTTTTTTTTGTTTGGTATTTCTCTCAAAATGATGGACCATGAAAGCGAAAGTTCGGATGATATTTATGTTCCAACTTTGATGAAATTTGGTCATTTATGTGACGGCTGATGCTGATTTTGGCTGATGCTGATTTTGGGGCCTATTTTAATACAAAATTTTATAATTTTTTGAGGTACATTTTTTTATCTTTTTTTTAATAGTTGGACTAGAATTTATGGTTAGAATTGTTAACAGACACAGGACATATCTCTAAAGTTGTTCAATTCTTTACTATGTTCTTTAAGTCAAATAACTGATTCATCCCAATTAATTATATGATTGGCTAAAATAATTTTTTAAAGAATGCAAAAAATTTTATTAAGCAAAGATTTCTTTGGTTTCTAAGTAAAGTTGTGAATCATCAAAATCAGCTTGGTGAATCGTAAACATAGAGAACTGCAAATTGGTAGTTACACAAAATACTACTTTGATAAATAATATTTTATATAAATACCAATTTGCAGATCTTTATATTCCAGTTCTGAATATTATCAAATATGGGAGTTATCTAAAGCCATGTACTCATGTGACTAGGGATGGGAATTATACAGTATAATTAAAATTGTCCTATACCTCTTGTCTAGCATATATGGACGATACTACATGGATTGCTTAATCAAAGCAATCTCTAGAACTCATAATCCATACAGCAACATCTTTCTACAACATGGCTAACATAAAAGTAAACCCAAATAAATCAACTCTAGCTACAAATATCACAACGAACAATGCACAAATCACTTTTAACCAACAAACTTTACAAAATATCCCTTCTAACCAAGCCTTTAGATTTCTAGGATGCTGGTTTTCCAGAACCTTTTCTTACAAACCCACTCATACCATCATTACTGATAAAATTACAGCAGCTATACGAAAGCTACAACATGCAAAAATAACAGACAAACAAGCAATATATATCATCAACTCAGTAATTCTCACCTGATTTGCTTACCGGATCCAAAACACTTCTCTTTCAAGCTTACAGCTGGACAAAATTACCAAATCCTATACCAACCTCACCAAATACAAAGCGGGGTTCACTAGTACTATTCCAAGCTTGACACTATTTCACAACCGAATCTATAGTCTAAAAACAATGCAAAACACACAACAACTACAATATATTAGCAATTTCTCTAAAATTTTTAATCATCCATTCTTTAGCACATCTGCATTAAAAATAAGGCTACAACAACTACAAAATTCTGCCACTACAAACTACTCGATCCTTACTCATTAACCTATTTTTCTATCACCAGAAAATAAAACAACTACCGCACAAATAATACTGGAACTCCACAAGGTCTAACTTACTTTACACAATGATAGTAATACCTGGCCAATACCAATGAATCAAATAGGAACCTCTATCAACAGTATACTATACTCAAACCCGAAAGTCTTAGTCATAAAAGGAAAACTAAATACACATCATATCTACTTTATTGAACAATTAACTAATTCTTCTCATATACAGCTTTTAACTTGGCAGGAATCACATCACAATATACAAAAAATACCCAGAGGCAGACAACCTAAATAGTACAACACCCTCCTAAATGATATCACTGCAGCAGAAAATATTCATAATCAGCTTATCCAACCCAACCCCTTCACTATACTACCTATAAATAATCAACATATTGTATGGGTCTATAACCCATGGCTTCAAGTTTTTGGAAAATTTTCAAAAAGGAAAAATCAAACTATCACCTTTCGACATTGGAAACAATTACCAAACAACCCTCAATGACTAACCAAGTACATGGGATGCAGACTTAGCTCTTCAAATCAACAATGCTGCTATTTCAAAGATTTTGCGCAAAACTTAATACATATACAAGTAGACAAAAAGAAATATATACATGCAAACATCAAGGATCTAAACACAACTTCTATACAACTCTGCTCTAATATTACAAAACAACTACAAAAATACACCTTTACTACATATAAAGACCAGATTTCAAAAAACTTAATGGAAGCTACACCCAATCTACAACAAAAATTATAGAAAATATACAGGTCTCTTTATGGGAAAAAAGCATTGAATGCTAATATAAATATACAATCTAATAGCATGAATTCAACATACAACCCTACAGCCTGCTAGACAATAGCCGACACACCTCTTGATCTACAAATCTCAAATCTAACTTAGCTGTCTAAAAGAAAAGCCTTGCTGACAGCACTACTAACTCTAATCACTGCAGTACTATATGCATGTGTACTAAACATTTCTACAGATGAAAAACAACTAGTCTATGACTTCACAAATATAGTTCAAACCTCCACATACCTTGCCAATCAATTGCTATCTACAACCTTTGGAATTTATAAAGCAACCATAAAGCAGCAATTATGAGGAAAGATCTAACAGTACAAATAACAACTACAAATACTACAATTAAACCAAATATTATAAGCACAACCATTGCTACTGAAATCAACACAGAGATGATACTGCACAACATCTATATTCCTAAACTAAACTATCACGCATTTCTCCACAACCCAAGGAGATTACTAAGGCATCTGCAAAACATGAAAAATATAGTAGACTGGCACAACCTAAATAGAATACACCAATGGAATTTAGACCCAAAAGAGATCAACTGGGAGCTTACCTTCAACTTTATAAACTATCACAATAGTCCTCTAAGCCGATATACACAACCTACTCAAACCAAAATCAAAACCTTCAAACTAAAATTAATAATGAACAAACTTCCAACACTTCTTAATTTATATATTCGACATTCAGCAAAGTACAACAATCCCATATGTCACAGATGTATACAAGCAAATGAAGATAATCAACACTGGCTTACATGCACAACTAACACACACTCTTATTGGGCTATCTATTATTATATCTCTCCATCTTGCTGATATTTGTAAATATTGGGTCCAAGGCCACTTCACTATTGCTAACTTCTGATTTCTTGCTTCTTCTTTAGCTAGTTTGTCTGTAATATCATTATAAATATTTCCACTATGCCCTTTCACCTTCTTCAACTTTACTTTTAGATCTTTAGTTTTTCATAATTTCTTGATTTGCTATAAAATGCTTGCATTTTTGATCTTCAATGCTTTTCTCTCTTTTTTTCAGACTTCTTTTCTCTTTAGATATTGTATAGCTGCTAAACTGTTTATATGTATTATAACTTCTGTTCCTTTAGAAGCAACCAGAAATGCTGTCCATATTGCTCCTAGTTTTGCTCAAATTGATAAAGGCCAGTTCTTGAAGATGCAGCTAAATCTCACTTTCTTTTTTTCTTTTGTCTCTCTATACTTTATTACCACTATTTACCTTGCTCCTATTTTGACTTTTTGTGGCGTTTCTTTTTCTTCATACAGTGATCCATCTATATAAAAGTCTATTTTCTCGATATTTTTAATTCTTGTGCAGCTGCTATCAATATCTCTGTACTTCTCCTTCTTTTACTTGATCCTTGATTATTTCTTCTATTAGTGTTTTTACAATAATCTTGTTTTCTATCTTCTAATCTTGATAGTCTTCTGTCTCTTCTTTTCTTGTTCCTTTCTTTCAGCTTAACATTTCTAACTTAAGTTCTACCTTATATATTTCACCATCATCTGTTACTTTCTTGATCTAGTCTTTTTTCAGTACTCTTCTGTTGCTTTAGAATCTTCTTGTAAATATGCATATTCCTTTTTGCACTTTGTTTTTGCTTCTGCTGCATCCTTTGCATCAGTTTAATTTGAATTTTTGTCACTTCTATCAGCTTCTGCTTTTACTCAGTATTCTATATCATATGTTTCTTCTCTTTCCTATATTTATCAATTTTCTCCAAAGCCTATTTTGTTTTTATCTTCTTCTAGAAAGATCTATTCTTTGCATATTTTATTTGTTTTTATTTCTTCTAAAGTTGCTCTTATACTTAAACTGTTTAGGTCATCTTTTCGATATCTTCTCTTGATTGTTTTTGTTATATTGTCTTCAATTACCTTTTCTTCTAGCTTTTTTGAAACTATTTTGCTTTTTTGCCTCTTGCTTTTGCTTTTCTACATTTCTTTAACTGCTTCTAGATTATTATTTTTTGATAGTTTTGGTCTATTAATTGTTCTATTATAAAGATATTATAGTTTTTTTTGTACTGAATAAACTTCTGTCTTTCTTTTTCTTCTAGTATATTTGCAATTTCAGTTTCTTTTTCTGCTAATTTCATCATTTCTTCAATTTCTTTGGACCTATATGAGATTTCTAACTTCTTAGTCTTTTTTTTTTTTTTTTTTTTTTTTTTTTTTTTTTTTTTTTTTTTTTTTTTTTTTTTTTTTTTTTTTTTTTTTTT